AGAACTGAATTCACACCGCTGATCAGCAAAGCCCCGTCAACACAATCTCTCAGATTAGCATTAGCCCTGGCGCTAATCTGCGAAACGTGAGTCCGTGACTCGGTCTTAGTACACTTATTAGCCAACAAAACCACAGAACGCTCACGTCTAGTGTGGGATTTCACCGGCATTCTAGAACTCTGGATGACCCTTTGATTGGCCGGGCGGGAAGTGCTGGAATATTCTGGAAGCCTGACACAGACATTCCACGACTGCAAAACAAGAACAGATGGCAAGATTCTAGAATATTCTATTCTAGAATAGAACCTCACACCCGCCTCCGTTTAAAACACTCACTGCTGTAAAATACTGTAAAATTTATGAAATATTACAACTATTTAAAATACCTGTTTTCTATGTGAACATATTTTAAAATGTAATTTATTGCTGTGATACGCAGCTGAATTTTCAGCATCATTACTCCAGTCTTCAGTGTCACATGATCTTCAGAAATCATTCTAATATGCTGATTTTCTACTCAATAAACATTTCTGATTATTATCAATGTTGAAAACAGTTGTGCTGCCCAATATTTTTGTGGAAACCGTGATACATTTTTTTTTTCAGGATTCTTTGATGAACAGAAAGTTCAAAAGAACAACATTTATTTGAAACAGAAATCTTTTGTAACATTATAAATGTCTTTAATGTCACTTTTGATCAATTTAATGCATCCTTGCGGAATAAAAGTATTAATTAATTTTTTTTTAATCTTATTTACCCCAAACGTTTGAATGGTATATCTTAGTTTCCACCAAATAATAAGCAGCAAAAACTGTTTTCAACATTGATATTAAAAAGAAATAGGAATTTCTGAAGGATCATGGGACACTGAAGACTGGAGTAATTATGCTGAAAATTCAGCTTTACATCACAGGGATAAATACAATTTTAAGATGTATTAAAATAGTAAACAGTCAATTTAAATTGTCAAAATATTTCACAATATTACTGTTTTATTGTATTGGTGATCAAATAAATGCAGCCTTGGTGAGCAGAAGACACTATAAAACTTGAAAAACATTGAAAAATCTTAATTATTCCAAACATTTGACTGGTAGTATATCTATTTTATTAAACTTCAGCATCAAATCGCGTGTCTTGTTGAGCAGATGTTACTTTACAAAGCAATCAGATTCAGTTTTCACCCGGGGGCCGATAAAAGAAAGAAAGAAACCATCCTTTCAAAACAGAATGGTGACAAAAAAATACATTTTCTTCATACAAACTAAAAATCCTCTGTCCATATTGATTACTGTAAAACGTCCCACATCTTAACTTGCTTTGTTTTGTCTCTCTGAAGTATTTCATCTCACATGATGGTCTTAACTAGCCAGGCAAACAGACCTAAAGCACTTCACAGGTCTCCGTCATCTCATAGTTAAACATCTCCGACTTCCTCACACGCCTCAAGGTCCACAGGCTTTGTGGTTATGTAATATTATCATCAGTCACATGCTATAATCCATGCTAAACCGAATTAAACCAATCTAAACCGGATACCACGGCAAACGACCCGTTCAGCTCGGCAGAATCACGAAACATGTGTCTAATTCCCGGTCGTGCCTGGCTTTCCGAGGAACGCCGCTAATCTGGAGCGTGTTGGGGGAGAGGAGGAGTACTGCTGGACTAATGGAGGTCCTAATGGAGGTCTCGTGGTCTCCTTCATGGGTCTCATGACCGAACCAGGCTCTCAGCCAGAATCAAACTCATGACACGGCCGCAAGCTCCATACAGCCCTAACTGAACAGTGTGGAATACCATTAAAAGCCTTTTTACAGGAAATGGAAGTGAACGTTGGTGAATTTCCCTTGGGTATCTATCTGAGAAGAAAGGGTTGGAATCAATTATATTTCAGCTGAGGCCAAGAACTTCAAACGTCAGGAAAATCTGATTCATAGCAAAACAAATCTGTGTCTAAAACCTTCATGGATGAATCGTTCATAACATATAACATGCACTATGCATTTACAAAATAAACAGGGTGATTTTACAAGTCATGCCATTTTGAAGATAAATAGTTCAACTTCCTGTGTGTTTTGGACAGTTCAAGTCAAATTGAAACTCGTGAATTGAAAGGAAGCCAGTTTTTAAATTCTGTATCTCACCCACACTACAAAAATGTTTCTTACGGTCTTGTTTTCCAGTACAAATATCAAAACAATCTTAAATCAGATACATTTACCTGAGATTCAAAATTGTTTAGCAAATTAAGTCTTGTTTTTGTGGAAACCATGATACATTTTGTTTCAGGATTCTTTGATGAATAGAAAGTCCAAAAGAACAACATTTATTTATTTTTGTAACATTATAAATGTCTTCATTGTCACTTTTGAATTAATTTAATGCATCCTTGCTGAATTAAAGTGTTAATTTCTTTTTTTTTAATTTTACTTACCCCCATTTTTTACGGTATGTCATGGTTTCTGCCAAATATTAAGCAGCAAAGGCAGTTTTCATCATTGATAAATAATCAGCATATTAGAATGATTTCTGAAGGATCATGTGACACTGAAGACTGGAGTAATGATGCTGAAAATTCGGCTTTGATCACAGAAATAAATTATATTTTAACATATATTCTCATAGAAAACAGTTATTTTAAATTGTAAAAACATTTCACAATATTACTGTTTTTACTGTATTTTTCACCAAATGAATGCAGCCTTGATGATCAGAGGAGACTTCTTTCAAAAACATTACAAAATCTTAATTTTTTTAATTAAAGTTTCCTGAAAAATATCTCAAAATTATGTGGGTTTTTGCTTAAAATAAAAACAAATATCCGTAACTCAGAGAAATTTTCTTACCCCCTTTTTTTCTTGTTTTAAGCAAAACTTTAGATTAGATTTAGATATGTACTGGAAAACAAGACAAAAATACTGAGTAAGAAAATGTATTTTTTGGGAACTTCCCAGAAAGACACGAGAAGCCCTTTAGGAAGGATATGTGACAATGAAACTGAGCCACTGATCTGTATTAGTAATCTATATGATGACTATGCTGGAAAGCTTGACATTGGAGGTCTGAAAAAGAGTTCAACGGACATTAACAGCTATTGAAATTTTAATCACAAAGTCAGGAAGTGAATTTGCAGAGGTTAGGACAATGTGGGTGCGCCTGTGCTGTAAGAACCGTTGCTATAATCATGACTAATAAGATCATGTTCCCTTCATTGCCAACAGTGTGTGAGTCATGTTCACATGCATCCTTCAATCCCATGAGTAAGACCGACGGACAGAGAGATGGAATGTGCATCTTGTGTTTTCACTGTGTGAGAGGTGAAGAAATACAGAGAAAGACAGAAAGAGATGAGTACTAAATGAATGGCACTTTTACGATCTGTCTAAATAAAGGACTGAAAGATTCTGACAAAACAGCAGTTTATTCTGCTAAAGAATTGCCCACTTAGACTACAAAAAGCTCATCATCATTTTTTTCCTTTTTAATTCAATTTTTTTTACATATAATAAATAATGTTTTTTTTTTCCATTTATATAATTTATATTTATTAATATAATATTTATTATTAATATAATTGTATTAGTATTGTATGATTTTTCATATATTTATATTTTCATACATTTATTAATACGCATATAGCATTGATTTTACACACACATATACATATATATATATATGCTGTTTTTATATATTTACATTATATTATATATACACTTGTGCATATATACACACACACACAAACATATATATATATATATATATACTGTTTTTCATACATAATATAAATAAAAAATAAAATATATTATAATTGATCATGTTTTTTCATATATTTTGTAGTGCTGTCAAACGATTAATCGCATCTAAAATAAAAGTTTTTGTTTGCATAATATGCGTGTATACTGTGTATATTTATTATGTGTACATATATATATATAAATACAAACACATGCATGTATATTTAAGAAAAATATGTCATGTTTATATATTAAATATATTTATA